TTTTACATCATCCACTCACAGCGCCCCCATGTGACAGAGAAGAAGCCTGAAGGTTAGAAGGCTGACACAGTTTGGGCGGGGAGGAGGTTTCTTGGGTTAAAATCCTGACCCTCTGCACCTTATGGTCATTATGCCTCAGTGTTCTGATCTGTCAAATGGGAGCAGTCATACTGCCTGCCTCACAGAATCATTAAAACCAAACCAGATGTTGTCCCATCAATTCCAGCTGTTGTGCAGAGAAAAACAGTACTCCCTGTTAGAACTGTGAAGCAGGCTTTTCTTCTCAGACACTTCTCAGACACCTCTTGGTGGATTTGAACCACCAACGTTAAGGTTAGTTGCGTGTGTAAACATTTATGCCATTTTACAGGGTTAAATTCTTAGATAAACATATGACATGTATAGTAACACATATTGTTACTATGTGTCATTGAGTCGGTACTGATCCATAGTGACCCTATGCACAGCATAACACAATACTGCCCAATTCTGCATCAGCCTCACAATCATTCCTACATTTGAGTCCATTGCAGCTGCCGCTGTGCGGGTCTATCTCATTGGGGGTCTTCCTCTTTTTCTCTGACCCTCCACTTTAACAGAGTTGATATCCTTCTCCAGTGACTGGTCCCTCCTGACAATATGTCCGAAGAATGAGAGATGAAGTCTGGCCATCCTGCCTTCCAATGAGCACTCTGGCTGTACTTCATCCATAACAGGTCTATTTGTTCTTTTCGCGTTCTATGGTACTTTCTCCTCCAACACCATAATTCAAATGCATCAGATTCTTCTCCAGTCTTCCTTATTCACTACTCAACTTTCACATGCATATGAGATGATTGAAAATACAATGATTTGGGTCAGGTGCACTTTAGTCCTCAAACTGACATCTTTGCTGTTCAACACTTAAAAGAGGTCTTCTGCAGCAGATTTGATCAATGTAATATGTTGTTTGATTTCTTGACTGCTGCTTCCATGAGTGTTGATGGTTGATCTGAGCAAAATGAAGTCTTTAACAACTTCAATGTTTTCTCCATTTATCTTGATATTTTTTCTTGGTTCAGTGGTGAGGATTTTTGTTTTCTTTACATTGAGGTACAGTCCATACCAAAGGCTGTGGTCTTTGATCTTCATCAGTAAGTATTTTAAGTTCTTTTCACTTTGAGCAAGCAAGGTTGTATCATTTGCATATTTCAGGATGTTAATGAATCTTCCTCCAATCCTGATGCCATGTTTTTTTCATAGAAGCCAGCTTCTCGGATTCTTTCACCATATGGTTTCCAGGGCTTCAGTGTTTACAGGAGCAAGAAGCCAAAGTCTGGTGAAAACACAACCCTGTGCACACCTTTCCTAATTTTAAACCTTTCAGTTTCCCTTGTTGTACAGGTTCCTTATGAGTGAAGTAACTGTTCTGGAATACTCATTCTCCACAATGTTGTCGTGGCTTGTCATGATACACACAATCGAAAGCCTTTGTGTAGTCAATAAAGCACCGGTAAACATCCTTCTGATATTCTCTGCTTTCAGCCAGGGTCCATCGGATGTCAGCAGTGATATCCCTCATTCCATGTCCTCATCGGAATCTGGCTTGAAACTCTCACCATTCTCTGTCAATGTGTGGTTGCATGCAATATTAATACTGTCCAATAATTTCCACATTCTGTCTGGTCACCTCTCTTTGAAATGGTCACAAATAGGGTTCTCGTCCCGTCAGTTAGCCAAGTGGTTTTCTTCCAGATTTCTCGGCAGAGATGAGTGAGTGCCTTTCGTGCTGCATGGCTTTGTTGAAAGGTTTCAGTTTGTAGTCCAGCAACTCCCCGTGTCTTGTTCTTTGTCAATGCCTTCAGTGCACCTTGAGCTTCTTTCTTCAGGATCGTATGCTATCTCTTGAAATGGTTGAAAATCGACGATTTCCTTTTGGTGCAGTGACTCTTTGTGTTCCTTCCCTAATATATATGGATCGATGTTGCTGTTAAGTGCTATTGAGTCAGTTCTGACTCATAGCTACCTGGTTTCTGAGGCTGTAAATCTTTGTGGAAGCAGAAAGTCTCATCATGCTCCTTGGAGCGCAGGGTGGGCTTGAACCCCTGACCTTGTGGTCTGCAGTCCATTGCTGATCCCGTGGAGCCACGGCTCCGCCATATGAACATATGAGGGGACTAAAAAAAATTAGTGGAAAATGAAATGAAGAGATAGTAGAATATTTTCACAAATGTTTTGAAGTCCCATTGTATATAGACACACAAAGGGTAAGCCAAAACGTATTCCTACAAAATCGTAGAAACCCTTCCTAAACAAAAAATTTTAAGTGTGAAATAATTGTTGCTCCATCATTTGTAGGTTTGTTGTTGTTAAGTGCCATCGAGTTGGTTCTGATTCACAGCAACTCTGCATAGGGCTTCTGGATCTGTTGATGTTTATGGGAGCAGGAAGCCTTATCTTTCTTCCTCAGAGCAGCTGGTGGGCTCGAACTACCGACCTTGTGGTTTGCATTCAAGTGCTTATCTTACAAAGTCACCGTTTCTCTAACCCTTCCTGGTGGCTTCATAGGATAAACACGAGACTGCAAACCACAAGGTCAGCCATTCGAGCCCACCATCCGCTCTGAGGGAGAAAGATGAGGCTTCCTGCTCCCGTGAAGGCTCACAGCCTTGGAAACCCTGTGCTGTGAGTTAGAATCTGCTTCATAACACATGACAACAACAATTGTTCCCCCAAGAGTTCTGCATTCTGGCTACACCATGTCAAAATGGCAGCTTGGGCACCCTCAGATTGTGTCCCCATCGATGTTCATGGGGTTTTAGGAGCAGAAAGAAGCCTGAAGGGTAAGGTCAGGGCTGTTGGGTGGATGGGGCCCCCTTCTGGATAGTCCTTACTTCCCTGAAAGGATGAGGAGGTGCTGTGTGTCCATGGAAATATTCCTCAATGCCACTTTCTTGGCCTTTTCCTCACTGGTGCAGTTTTCGGTGTTCTGGAAACTTCTTTATCTTAAGCTCTTGTGAATGTCCTGTGTCCTTCTGGAACATCTTTCAAGACAACCCCTTTGGAACTCCCAAAACCATCTCATAACTTGAGCTGGCCTCTCTGCCTTGAATTTACCTGGCCAGCCCATGTCCTCCTCGGAAGCCACAGTTTTGGTTGGAACTTTTCATTTTTTGAGCGCTCCCTAACCAGACTGTAAGGCAAGTGGGTTACTGAGAGAATTGTCCACAGCCATCCACTGATCACAGACACATATGTAAATACATTTTGTTCAGGATAAAGTCACGCGTGGATGAACTGCACCCCTGGTATCAAGCAATCCTTTCCAACTTAGCCTTGTATGTTGTGAGCCATGTGGTCAGTTCTGACTTTGCCCCTCACAGGGTTTCCTAGACTGTACTCTTCAGCAGATGGAGTCCTGGTGTGGTTCTGTAGAGTGAGCACTGGAGCATAAAGTCTGTTTGAACTACAAGGTTGGTGGTTCAAACCCACCAGCCACTCCTTGGTAGCCCTATAAGGGTGTGTGTGTGTGTGTGTGTGTGTGAGAGAGAGAGAGAGAGAGAGAGAGAGAGAGAGAGAGAGAGGAGAGAGAGACAGACAGACAAACAGAAAGATTAGCGATTAGCTCTGGCTGTACCAGTGAGGTGTGTGTGTGTGTGTGTGTGTGTGTGTGTGTGTGTGTGACAGAGACAGACAGACAGAGAGAGAGAACGCAGCACTGACTGTACCCTGACACCTGTACCCATGAGGTGTGTGTGTAAGTGTGTGTTTGTATGAGAGAGAGAGAGAGAGAGACAGACAGACAGACAGACAGACAGACAGACAGATCAGCGCCAGCTGTACCCTGGCACCTGTACCCGTGAGGTGTGTGAGAGAGGACAGACAGACAGACAGAGATCAGCACCAGCTGAACCCCAACACCTGTGAGGTCCCTCTTGTGCCCAGTGGAGTCACCAGGCTACAGGAGAGCTATTGTCATTTTGATTTTTCCAGTGAGTCACTGCTGGATTGCTTGCCCCCAAGGCACTTTCATTATGATTCAGTGCCAAGTGTGCGTGGGGGTGGGGCTGCAGGGGCCTCAGCTGACACCTGGGATGGAGCTGAGAAGACAGACCCCCACCTCCCACGCCGCTAGGAAGACGTCAGGATTACGCAGCTGAGCATCTGCCCCTTCCCTCCAGCCCCAGGCACCACGGAGCTGCCTTATTCCCTGTAAGGGGCCCAGCGCTTCCCGGTCCCGGTGGCTTGGCTCGGCTCACACTGTCAGCTTAACCCTAAGACAGTGTCCATGTTAGAGCTCCTAGAAGGTAAGTCTGGGGCGTCGTGGCCCACCCTCTGGAACGATCCGTTGAGGTTGCTTTAGGGATCTCGGTAAAACCATGCCTTTCAGTGCCTCTGCCGGTTCTCAGAGGGATGCGGCCCGGTAATGGGGGCACCTTCACTGATGGCAGTTTGTGACCTGTTTCAGCTGAGTGATGGTGGCTGGGAAAGTCTAGAGTATCAGACTCACAGCCCTGTTAGGAAGCCGGTTGTGTTTTCAGAGTCCTTGAGGGTCCAGGGCCCATTGCTTTGTGGAGTTCAGAGCAGGTGGGTGAGGGTTAGTCGAGGGGTAGCTGGGACACAGAGAACGGCTGTTAGATTCTCAAACCCCAGAACATCTCAACCAGCCGCTGGGGAGAGCCTCGGGGTTCATTGCTATTCCTCCCGGGAAAGGAAGTGGGAGACTGGAAGACGAATTCACAGAAGATGCCTCTGGACTTTGGCCATGTTCGGCAAGCGCCATGAAAGGCGTCCTTAATCTTTGTCAACAGTGAAGCTAGGAAAAGTACATCTTTTCAGGCAGTGTGTGGCCTCATCTGGTGGTCCTCTGAGGACTCCAGTGCAGGTGGTAGCCTGTGAGGAGGTGTCTGGGATCTTAGCCGATGTCCCTCTGTCCTTGCTTATTTACCTGAAAAGGAGATTTGTCCTAAAAATTCCTTAACATGCCCTTTCTCTCTCTCTCTGGTTCTTTGTGCTTCTAGTTAATGGAACCCCTGGTAGCCAGCTCTCTACTCCACGCTCCGGAAAGTCTCCCAGCCCATCGCCCACCAGCCCTGGAAGCCTCCGGAAGCAGAGGGTAAGGAAGTGAGCTGACTCCTTTAAGGCCCATGTGCCCTCAGTGACAGTGACACAAGTTTAAATGGGTGTCATGGGTCAGGAGGCGGCCACCAGAGGGCCACTGGGCTCTTAGGTAGGACTCAGAGCTGTTCATTTCTGGTGCACTGAGGTGCTGTGAGGGCTCTGGGTGGTCAGCCTTCTTGGTTAGGGCATCTTCATGGTTCACCAGCCCTGAGGTGAGTGTCTCTGGTGGACAGTTCTTGATGAGGCTCTGGTGGGGATTCTTGGTGGACCTCTGGTGGGGAGTTTTTGTTGGGGCTCTGGTGGGCAGCTATTGCAGGGGTGGGCACATGGAGAGCGCTCCCTCTTGCCCTCACTACTTTCAGTCGTCCTTGGAGCCTCTTGTGCTGTCCATGAGAAGAGCCTAGAGGACTGCTTCCTTCTGAGAAGGGGAGAGGGGCTGGGCTGACTCTCCTTTCAGGAGGTTTGAAGAATGACCGTCCCGGTCTCCTCACTGCCTGTCCCATGTGTTTGTCCAGTGAGACCACGGCCGGGACATGAGGAGTCAGGGAACGTACAGGAAAGTGTGTGTGTTCATGTCAGGTGCACAGCCCCAGACTGTTTGCTCCTCAGAGCCTCTGGAATCCAGCACCCTAGTGCTCTGTGGGTTTGCTCTCAGGATTTGCTGTAAGACAGCACTGCTGTGTCCCCTAGATTGAGGCTGCAGCCTCTTCACATCATGCCAAGGGCCTGTCTGTGGCTGGAAAGTGGGCGTCAGGGAGCGCAGTTCGCCCCCACCCTCACCCCCAACCACCACCCTTAGTCCTTTGGGAGCCTGTTGCACCAAGTATCAGATCGGATTCACTTTTCTTGCACTGACTCACCGGTCACAGCTTTTTTAGATTCGACGAGGGTGGGACTTAGCATGAGCTGGACCCACTCACTGGCTGCTTTGTCAAAGGCGAGAGAGAGAGTAAGGTCTCTTCAGTAAGAAAATGTAAACTTCTGGTCCCATTCCCTCAAGGGCCCCAGTGTCATTTGGCATTTTAAGTATGGGACTCACTCGGGAAGGACTCAAAGAGAGCAGCAAAATTCACTTCATCTTCTGAGGACAGTGGAAACACTGGTGTACCATTCTTTCTCTTGAATGTTGTCCGTCATTTCCCCTGGGGACAGTCATTAGATGTACCATAGAAAGACCCTTCTTCATGAGTCTTGAGATGGATTTTTTGGTGACTTGTTTGTTGGGTACTGTCTAGTCGAGTCCCACTCACAGCGCCCACATGTGACAAAGTAGAACTGTCCCACAAGGTTTCCTAGGCTGTCATCTATTGTGTTAATTTTGTTGTTGTCAAGTGCGGTCGAATCAATTCCGACTCATAGCGACCCTGTACAGGGTTTCCAAGGAGTAGCTGGTGAGCTTGAACCACCGACCTTGCAGTTCAAACAGCTTTGCAGTCTGGTGCATTAACCCACAGCATCACACTCCGTCTGTATACTCATATATACTCTTATAGATCATCCACTCATAGTGCCCCCTGGTGTAACGGAGGAGAACTGCCCCACAGAGTTTCCTAGGCTGTCATCTACTGTGTCACTATATACTCGTATACACTTTTATAGATCATCCACTCACAGCGCCCCCTGGTGTAACAGAGGAGAACTGCCCCACAGGGTTTCCTAGGCTGTCATCTATTGTATCACTATATACTCTTATAGAGCATCCACTCACAGCGCCCCCTGGTGTAACAGAGGAGAACTGCCCCACAGGGTTTCCTAGGCTGTCATCTATTGTGTCACTATATACTCATATATACTCTTATAGATCATCCACTCACAGCGCCCCCTGGTGTAACGGAGGAGAACTGCCCCACAGGGTTTCCTAGGCTGTCATCTTTTGTGTCACTATATACTCGTATATACTCTTATAGATCATCCACTCACAGCACCCCCTGGTGTAACAGAGTAGAACTGCCCCACAGGGTTTCCTAAACTATTTACCTAGTCTTTCCCCCATAGAGCCAATGGACGGGTTCAAATTGCCAGCATTTGGGTTAGTTTAAGTATTAGCCACCAGGGTTTTTCTTTGAGAGGAGACCACACATAGGCATGTCTCTCCATCTTTTGAGCTAACTGAACTCAGATTGGAATTTTTTGATGTTGCTCCTGCTTAGTTATTGATATTATAAGAAGGATTGAAGTTCCGGCCACAGTATGTTGGAGCTTTTTTCCCAGGCTTCTCATTCTGGGGATCTTTGCCTTGGCCCTGACAAGCTCCTCTGCCTTGTGGTTGGCAGGATGAGGCTAAACTTCGCTTTTTCTGTCTCCTATCTTCTCTGCATCACTGTGTGTATTAGCTGGAAGTGTTCATCCACCTAATAGCAGCTGTGGGATTGTTTTCTGTCATTATAATTCCCACCACTGTGAGATGATTATAAAGCAAGGCATCCATGTGGAATCTTCTGTACTGGGGAGGGGAAAAAAAGACAACTCCCATTTGTTTTACGGGAACAAAGAGTTTATCTTTGTTTATGAAGAATGTGATGTGGGCAGGGTGCTAGATGTGTCCACAGATGGTTGAGCTCCCAAGTGTTTGGATGTGGACCTTCAAGGAGCATTCTCCATCCCTGAATCCTTCCATATACCCATCATCCATCTGTCCATCCATCCATCTAACTATCCACTCTCCATCTATCCAATTATCAATCCATCTACCCTATCCATCTTTCTGTCTATCCAAACATCCATCCATCTACATATCCACCTATGCAAACATCTGCTCATCTAGCCTCTATTCATCTTCCTATCCATCTCTCCACCTATTTATCTATCCAATTATCTATCCATTCACATATCCATCTATCCAATCATCCATGCATCGACCTACCTACCTATTTATCTAATCATCCATCCACCTATCTACTTATTCATCTATCTAATCATCCATACATCCAGGGGTGATCCATTACATTCTGCGTCAGAGTGTAGAGACATTCATGGATTTGGAAGCTATTTCTGATCCTGTGAGAGGGGCCTTCATATTGGTGTGTAAGCATCTGTACCAAAGAACGCTGCCCCAAAAAAAGGGGTCTAGAATAACCAGACAGACAGACAGACTCTTGTTTCCAGTGTGGTTGATGTTCTGCTGCTCAGGAAGCACTGAAGGAAGTGAAAGATGAGATGTGCTAAAAGAAGACACTTCAAAGAATAAATTAACTCTCTGTCTCTGTTTTTAATTGCAAATTAGAAAACAGTATCTACTTCTCCTTCTGTGTTGCTTAGCAACATGGCCTGGAAAGTGAGTGGGTTGATTGCCCCCCCCCACACACACACACTTCTCACCCCCTTTTAAAACATAGGCACATAAGCTGGGGTGTCGTGTTCATTTTTTAGGCGTACTGAAACTTTGTCTGGTTTCTTAACAAATAAGAATTTGGATTTTGCGAGGATTTCGTCAGCTTCTTTTACCCTCAAAGTCCTTTTTTGGTGTTTCTCCTCACAACATTTTGTAGGGTGGCTAGCTGTAGGGTCGGCAGCTCACCAGAAGAAAGATGAGGCTGTTTACTTCTGTAAAGATTTGCAGTCTCATAACCCTACGTGGAGTCAGTGTAGGGTCAGCACTGGACTTCCAACTGCAAGGTCGGTGGTTCAAACCCACCAGCTGCTCCTTGGAAACCCTGTACAGGGTCATTAAGAGTCAGGACTTCACACCAACAGCAAACCCCATATAGATAACTCTGGTCTTTACGAGGCAGAATCCAGTCGGTGGCTAAATCTGTGTGTGAGACACACTTGGCTCGCACAAGGTGGATGTTGGAGGTTCTCTGTCACTTTGCGGGACTTCCCTGGGTCCCGTTTTTTAATGCATGAGGGGAGAGTGGAGTGGTGCTGTGCCGGTGGTCTCCCGTAGCCCCCCTACCTTCCATAGATTATCTGGTCAGCCTGATGGAGGGGGCAGGGCTGCCTCACAAAAGGAATCTGAGCTGCTCTAGGCTCTCTCCTGCAGAGAGGAACTGGTTGCCTCGGTTACGAGCAGAGAGTTAGTTGCTCAGAAAGGTGGGAAGGAAGGAGAGAGGAAGTGGTAGGTGAATGGTTGGGGGAAGGGGAGAGTGTACGTCATTGTCTTGCAAACACAACAGTTTGAAGAGGCCTTGTTTGTAGTAAAGGGACCACTGGAGATGTTGCTCTGGGACCAGCATTAGCTGTGAGGACAAGCCAGGGCTCCTGGTCAGTTGTGAGGTAAATGCTGGTGGGGCAGAGATTAAGGTTGGTAGCTGGAACCCAGGGGTCACGCCGAGGGAGAAGGATGAGTCTGCTCCCATAGCCTAACGATGACAGCCTTGGGAACGCTATGGGAATCTGGTCGGGTCCGGTCTGGTCTGCTCAGAATGGGGAGCTGGTGGTCCAGGAGGCAGAGTGGGCACAGACTGGAGGGCAGGCCCAGGCTCCTGAGCAGCTGAGCAGGAAGTCCTTGCCAGTGGACAAACTAAAGGCTATCTGGTAGTACGGTGGCTAAGCACTTGTTAACCCAAAGGCTGGAGGTTCAAACCCACAGGCTGCTCTGAGGGAGAAAGATGAGGGAATCCATAAAGATGATGACCTCGGAAACCCCAGGGGACACTTCTACCTTGTCCTGCAAGGTCGCAATGAGTTGGAACCACCTTGACGGCATCAGGTTCGGTTTGGTTTGTTGGAGTTTCAGATGGTGTTTCGATGATTTTATTTCCTTTAATGATTTTAGAGGCCAAGGGTGTTTTTCAGTGTCATCCCTAGGAGAGCTGCAGGCCACCCTCGAAAGCCCAGTAAACAAATCTTGCTGCCCTTCGTCTTACAGGACCTGTATCGCTCCCTCTCTCCGGATGAACTGGACTCAGTAGGAGACTCAGTGTAAAAGACCCCACCCCGTGGAGCAGTGTATCTGGTTTCTGATTGGCTGAAGGTCTCCAGTGTCCTCTGCAAAAGTCTTACCAGCGGCCTTCACTGAAGAGTTTTGCATACCTTGAAATGATAAAGCCAGAA